AAAAAAAAAAAAAAAAGAGTATGGGACAAGAGAATTCTCGCCTGCTCATTTCTTGCCAGTGGTTGGGCTTCTGCAGCAGCCGGGTCACTTAGTGACAAGTCTTGTCCCTACTGCCATTATCATTAACAGGAGCCCCTTTCCCACCCATGTTTCTTTCAACAAAGGCCAGCAGCTGCTTCACAGGGCTGCTGAGAGATCCAGAAAGATGACTGGGAAAGTGGTTTGCATCTCTAGATCCTGTGTAGATATTACTCTTTGTGACATCTCCCAAGAAACCCACGCAGCCTCTCCCTGCTCTCTATATTGCTACTAGAAAAATATAAATAATTTAGAATAAATTAGAATAGAATAATTTTAAAAAGATAATACAGGCCAGGTATTTTAAAGGCTGATATCCTTTCACATGGCTCTTCCCCCAAATATATAAAACACAGCTTCTCCATAGGCCCAAGGAGAGGGAGGCGTCTTATATGGCCTGGCCCAACATGAGGGTGGTCTAATCCCCCCAGTTCATGACTTGGTCCTAGGAAGGAGCAGAGCCAGGCAGCTTCTCCCACTGTCCCCAGGGCAGCCTCAGTTCTGCTCAACATCAGGCTGTCCTTCATACACCCATCTGTCAATTAATTCAAGTGAGTCTCCAGGTGATGCCACCAGTGGGCTAACAGACACAGGGCAGCATGTTATTTTTTCAACAGCTTGGTTACACGACCTGAAATGCAAAGGGAAAAATAGCTGTATTTTTCCTCAGCACCCAGGAAAAATACAGGTATTATTCCGACAGATTGACTTTAAGTGATATTTGTCTGTGGGGAGATGCATAATTTAATCTGCGATTTTTTTAAAACCATAAAACAGGAGCATCTAAGGAAATGTGCCAATATGTTGTTTTAGTCTGTTTCTTCAGACTATGGCTAGGGATACACAACAGTTTAGAACTCAATATTGCACATTCTGGGAGACTGAGGTGGGTGGGTTGTCTGAGTTCATGGGTTCGAGTCCAGCCTGAGTAAGAGCAAGGCCCCATCTCTAAAAATAACTGGGCACTGTGGCAGGCATCTGTAGTCCCAGCTACTTGGGAGGCTGAGGCAAGAGAATCACTTGAGCCCAAGAGTTGGAGGCTGCTGTGAGCTATGGCACCACAGCACTCTACTGAGGGCGACAAAGTGAAACTCTGTCTCAAAACAAATAAATAAAACACCCCCCCAATACTGCTAAGGAAATCACGTACAAATCATGTGCAAAGATGAATCTTAACAGCAGTTATGAAAGAAAAAGTGTAAAAGCATTCCTACTGTAGGTCACTATATAAGTAAATGCTGACACATGAGTTCAGCAAAATACTAGGCAGCCAAGAAAACGAGCAGCCTATTTTCAGATACTGTGGGAGACGTGGGGGTAAAAATACATATTACTCAGAAAAAGCCCAGAGGGCCACTGCCAGGGGTTGCTCCATGATGTGGCACTGCCACATACTCTACAGTGGGCACTTACCATGTGCCAGACCATATGTTCACATGCCAAGGAGCCACCCCAGGAGGAGTCCCCTCATGGTTCCCCTCTGCAGCACCAACTGAAGGAGCTGCCCAAGCTGCACCCAGGACTCAGACACAGACAGCTCGAGTCCACAGCCGGAGGGAACGGGACCTAAGCAGAACCTAACAGTCAGGAGGGAGAACCCAGAGCTTGCTGCTGCCAGGAGAGGGGTGAGTCTGCAGTTTAAGGACCTTCTAGTTTTTCAGAAAGGAAACTAGGTTGTTTGGTAACTGATCTCTCTACTGTTACCAGTAGATCCCTACAGATGGTTTTATTTTCTTATGTTTTTTGTTGCAGTTTTTGGCCGGGGCCGGCACCCTACTCCCTGAGCCACAGGCACCGCCCTATTTTCTTATGTTTTACATTTTTCAAATGTTAGAAATGGGAAAAATCAATAAATGTAAACAAACAACCTGCAAATGTTTCAGAGTGCCACTGGGTAGGAAAATGCCCCTTCCTGTCACTGCCCTCTCCCTCCCCACATCCGGGAATGTAACCAACTGGTGAAGCGTCACAGGCAGGTTTCCTTGGGGAGGCTCTGATGATGCGGTCACGGCCTGGGTCTCATGTTTGGATTTTCTTGCAGAGCTGCACAGAAATATCAGAGAGAGGGCATAGAGCCTGGGAATTCCACCCAGAGAGAAAACCCCCTTTGCTCTCAGGGGACTGGCATTGTCAGTCATTAGTAGGCAGGACAGAGCTATTTAATGTAAGAAGAACTCAAGCAGGTAATTTAGAACAACTGCTTTCTTGCTGGTTTGTCTTGAGTAGTAGTTCTCATTGGGAACATCTTTTGCTCCCAAAGGGACATTTCTCAAGGTCTGAAGACATTTTTAGTTGTCACGGTTGAGAGCTGCTTCTGGCTTGGAGTGGGAAGAAGTCAGGGATGCTGGTAAAAGTCCTACAATGTACCAGACAGTTCCCGCCACAAGAAATTATCTAGGCCCAAATGTCACTGGCACCAAGGTTGAGAACCCCTGCTCCAGAGAAACCCAGCACTGTGTTTTAGTGTTGTCTCTCTCTCTCTTTTTTGCTATGTATTTAAGTAGTAGCCTGGTGTTAGTAATATTTAGCTTCTGTTGGGAAGAGGGAAGAAAACTCAGGTTATTATCCAGAGATGTGCCAGGACCAGCTACTGCACACAATTCTGACTCAGGCCCCAAACAAGAGTCAAGAAAAGTCCAGGCAGGAAGGCTATATATAGCCTCTTCAGCCTCTTACTGAAGGAAGATTCAGTATTGTTTAATGTGTTTATTTTTGCAAACTATATTCAAATCATTTATCAGCAAATGGCTTATTTAATAGCAGCTGAGTACTCCACAGCATACAGAGACCCCAATTACCTGGTGAGTCCTTATGAATGTGACAAGCACCTTGCTATTTGAACAAGGGGACCACAGGCCTCCCTGCACATATGTGTTGAGGGGTCAAGGGTGGAACTGCTAGGTCAGGTGAGAATGAGCACTTGAGATTTCTGCAATTTAAAGATCAGGGCCAAAGTACCCTCCAAAATGGCTGTGACCCCTCACACTCCACCCCGACGCAGCAGATCTTCACTCACCTCACCACCCCCGCCAGCACATGCGGATGCCGTGGACTGTTTGTGTGGAATGGGAGGCATGGGGATGGAAAGCTGCATTTGGGAATGTCAAACAAATAAGAGAAAAGGGAACTAACAACTGGTGAGGATGCAGCATGTCCCCAGCACTCTAGATGGTACCTTACCATTACAGACAAAACACGGAAAAGAGCTTTTATTTCACAGGGCACTTGGATTCCTGACCATCCAACACAGGCAGCTGACCTAAACTCAGAGCATCTGTGACAGTCACTTTCCACAGTATCTGAGAAGTGAGGTGGAGGCTGGCAGAGGAGTCGGGGCTCCCTAGGTAGGGCCAACGTGGCACTAACGCACACCCCCTAGTGGGGACAAAAATCACACAGAGGCACAGTGCCGCACATGCCTCTTCCTCCTTTAGGAGTTAGGGTAGACCTAACACATGAGGAGGGAATTCTCCCACTGTGCAAACTAAGACTATCTGAAGGCATCATGCATGTATGTGGTTAATAATTCACCCTTCAACGCTCTGTGGAGAGCTAATAATCAGAAAAGCATTTACTAATGGGTTCTACCCACCAGAGCTAAAGGCTGAAAACTGAGAGCAAGCTTAAAGACAAAATAAATTTAATACAAACAAATTAATCCAGAAGTGTTCAAAACATATTTATTTTATTTATTTATTTATTTTTGAGAAAGAGTCTCAAGCTGTCACCCCAGGGAGAGAGCTGTGGCATCATGATAGCTCATAGCAACCTCCAACTCTTGGGCTCAAGTGATCCTCTGACCTCAGTTTTTCTATCTTTAGTAGAGATGGGGTCTCGCTCTTGTTCAAGCTGGTCTTTACCTCCTGAGCGCAAGCAATCTACCTGCCTTGGTCTCCCAGAGTGCTAGGATTATAGGTGTAGGCCACTACACCTGGCCTTCAAAATATATTTAAATAAATGTTTTTAAAATTTAGCCTTTCAAGGTCTCCTATTGGCTAATATGTGCTAATTGAGCATAAAGTTGTCTCACATGATTATAACACAATGAATAAGTAAAAACCCAGGAAACTGTGGTAGGGGGCAGATGGGGAGGAGGGAGAGGAGAGACAGGGAGGGAGGGGAAAGCTCTTATTCACAGGAGCAGAGAGAAGAGCAGTAGGAAACCTCCATTTGGACAGTCTCATATGATAATTTAGGCAAGGATATTTAAAAGGTGCTGGAACTAACCACAAAGTGAAGGTCACTTGGGAACTCAGTGTTCACTGGACGTCACAGGATGATCCCACGGGTTTCCTGTTAGTTCCCTATGGTAAGTCACTGTCTTAGCCAACTGACCAAACTCTGCCTCTCTCAGAGTGGGGCGCTGATTACCAGAGGCCTCTGGATGAGAAGCAGGTGGAGCTCAATGTGAGGTATTGTTCATAAAAATACCTGAACTGATCTAATGAAGCCTTGGACTTCAGCTTATAGACAATACACAGATAAAGAAATAATAAAACAAATCCAGAAAGTTAGACAATTTATAAGAAACTAGCTTGGATTCTTCAAAAAGTCAGTGTCATATGAAAAAGGGGGGAGAAAAAAGATGAACGAAGGAAGAACTATTCTTTAACAAGAGAGAGTCAAAAGAAATAATAATCCAGAGCAGCACATAAATCCTGGTTGGATCCCAATTTTTAAACAAAAACACCCCAAAAAAGGTATAAAAGTTATTTTTGTGACAACTGGGAAATCTGAAAACTGGCTGAATTGTTAGATATTATAATTGTCACTTGTTATGTGTGATAATATAACAGTGGTAATGCAGAGAAATGTCCTTATACTTAGAAGCTGTATGATAAAGTACTGTGGTCATGACGTGTGCAATATTCTTTCAAAGGGTGCAAAAACTAAAATCTTTTTTTTTTTTTTTTTGGA